GGTGGTGTCCACCAGGCCGCTGCCCCAGGTGCTGTCCACCAGGTGCCATCTTCCCTCCAGGTACACAGCATTCCAGGCATGGTCAAACTCCCCCGAGAAACTCTGCCCTGTCTGGTAGCCGAAGCCCTTGGAGTAGCCAGGCACGGTCATACACTGCACTCCGGCGATCCTGGGGGCAGGACAGGGGGTCTGAGAGGAGGATCCTGCTGCGACTTGCCTCCAAGTCTGTCCATGGTCTCAGGTTTCAGGCATGTTTGCTGCCCATCAGTCCTCCCTGTCTATCCTTTTTCTTGCTTCTTGTACTCACATATAAACAGCCTTGAGGACTTTTATCTCTGGGCATGGGGGACAGGGAGATACAGTGCTGGCTGGTCCTGTCGGTACAGACTGGCTGCAGTCTCCGCTGTCTGCTCCTCCCCTGAGACCAACACCATTCAGATCACTTCTGAAATGTTCATCCCTAGAGCCTGCTCGACACGCTCCTCAAGCAGCTCTTCAGCAGGAAAAAATGGGGGCAAGCATGAGATTGGCTTCAAGAAAATAGGAGCTGGGGAAATGACAATGTTCCTGCAACAAAACCTACACGCAAGGGGTGAGCACAGCTGCTGGGAGAACCAGGGCACTCTGGACGTGTGACTGAAGAGATGAGTCTTGTGACACGCGTGAGATGTTGGGGGATTGCTGGTTGTGAGGGTACAGAAGCCAAGCCCTACTCCCCTGCTATTCCTCCCAAGGAAGCCTGCACAGGAACCCAGGGCAGGCAGTGGGTGTCTCCAGTCCTGGCCCAGGGAGGACTGGCCAGCTGCCAGCTTGCTCAGGTCTTACTGGTGGGCCTGTCCTTTGTGAATGGTGCAAGAGCCATCATGGTGCATTCAGGTCATTTGCTGACTGCCTGCCCTGGCCACAATTCTGGAGTCTTCTGTGGCCGCCCTGAGGGGAATGGAAACGCTGACCAGTCAACCTGAGCTTTGGGGTCCTTTTGACATTGTGCTCCCCACTGCTCACGGCAGAGATGGCACTGCTTTCTGGGAACCTGGGTGGGAAGATGGGCATGGGTCACCCCTGGGGACGACATAAAACTAGACATTTGGAGCTGAAACCCTGAGGCCCAGGCCTGGGCTGTGGGCACCAGCCCAAGGCCAAAGCAAGACCCTGGGTATCCTTTCATGGCCAGCTGGTCTTGCTCCTCAGCAGCCCTGCTCCCCCGAGGACAGCCAAGAGGGGGTACTGTGCAGACAATTTCACTGGTAGTCTGACCTAGGGACATCCCATGCTAGCCCTTCTAGGGCCTTTATGTAAATTAGAAAAGGTGCCCCTTCCTCAAGACATTTTCCTTGCACTCATGGAAAATTGGTGTAATAGATACACAACCTGTGAAACCGAGGATGTGCTTGATGCCCGTTTGATGGGGCTCCTTTGAGCACCACGCAGGCTGCTCAGTCCCACCTCAGTGCTGACCCTGTGCTCTACTCTGCTGAGCTGAGTCTGCAGACCAGGGTGTTGGTGGGACCTGTTTCAGTGAGATGGGCCCATGAGGGCGGGGCCCTTCCACAGACCAGGGCTCCAGCCTCAGTTGCTATAAGCAAGAGGGCCATGGAGCCTTCCAGGGTAATGGGGTGAAATGGCCATGCATCTACTATAGGAATGGGGGTAATCTTCCCAGTAAAAATGAACATGTAATTTAAAATTAGCAAAATATTAGATTAAGTATTACTAATATGTATCACTTGCTGAGAGAGTAATTGGGATCAAATGTGATGTCCTGAGGGTTAAGAGATTCTACTTTCCCTGCCCTCATTGTTTCTTCACATGCATGCAGTGAGGACGTGTTACAATGTCTGCCTTAACCTCTGCTCACCTGCGGAAAGTCCAGGTCACTAGTGCTGAGGTTCCTTAGGGGCTTGGAAGTTTTCCAGACCCCGCCCTTTTGCCTGCTGTTTCACAAAAGGAGGTTCAGGCTTCCTAAGCCCTCTAAGGAATCCCATGAGAACATACCAGCTGGGCTCTGTGAGAAGGCTTCTTGGAGCACTTGGGGGCATGGGGACAGACTGCAAGAGAAACTAGATCCTGGTGTCATGATTTTCTGCTGGCAAAGGCCATAAGCCACTCCAGGGCAGAAGGAGGCAGTAGCTGAGGAGACCATGGAAGAAAGGGGAGCAGGTGCAGCCTGCATACCTGGAGTGCCCTCTCCTCATTTCTCTGCAGTGCAGAGAGTGGAGGGTGGTGGGGAGTGCTGGGGGATGCAGGGCTGAGGGGGTTGTTCTCAGGATGAGGAAATCTGGATGTGTTTATAGTCTGAGAGGAAACAGCTAGCAGAGAGGGACCAGTGGAAAGCAAGGCCAGAGGAGTGGGTGGAGGTGTAGGGGTGGGATAAACATTCGATAGGAGGTGGGGTCCTGTCTACTCAGAGATTGGGTGAGGAAAAGAAATGTTGTGAAAAATACTTAGTGAGCTAAACAGGGCCCCTGACACAACGTGAACTGACAACAGCATGTCAGTCTCTCCAGTCAGTACGATGTCATGCCAATGCTGTGTGTGTGTGTGTGTGTGTGTGTGTGTGTGTGTATGTGTGTGTGTGTGTATGTGTGTGTGTGTGTGTATGTGTGTGTGTGTGTGTGTGTGTGTGTGTGTGCTGCCTGCATGCACAGAGAAGGAGGGGCAGGGAGCGAGAGGGGAAGAGATGGCACAAAAGGCACCTGGTCTCTTAGCAATGGGATTATAGGTGATTTTAATTTTTTCTTGAAACTTCTCTATATTTTCTAAATTTTTAATAATGATTATGTGTTACTTGGAGAATTGGAAAAAAAACCATAAATACTACTTAAAATTATATTCTTCGGGAAATTACTTTCCATTGCTGCCTAGAACGTCTGTGCATATCACTTTCTAGGATGATGTGGAGGGATAAGGGGAGTCCTGGGAACAATGGGGCTTAAAGAATGGCTCATTTTGCATTAAGATGAACTGATTTAGTGGAGCTGTGGGCCTCTGGACACGCTGCCCACTGATGCTTGTCCTCTGCTCAGAGCCACCTGGAGTCAAGGAAGGAAAGAGAGGAATTTAGCATTTGTGCAGCCTCCAGGCAGTGGGGTAAATCAGAGTGGGTATGGAATGTCCTCCTGGGAGAAGCCATGTGTCCAGGGGGACATCCTGCCCTCAGGGGGGTGAAGTGGAGGCAATATTGGAAGAATGAAGTCAGGGCGCAGCAGTGAGAGTGTGCCCCAGTCCTGGAAAGGAAAGGAGGAGGAAGAAGTGAGGGGCAGGGATGTCCACCTGTACTGCTCTGAGTGGGGGTGGTGGCCCCAGAGCCAGGAAATAAGGTCACCTCTCAGGTCTAATGGTCACCTCATGGGTGACCTTGCCAGGCTCATCATGGGCAGTGAGAAAGGTTGGCATCAAATGATCTCCAGGGGTTGATTCTTCTCTGGCAGGCTGAGGAGAAGCTGGAAAGGCTGTGGGAAATGCGTGGGGCAGAAAAGGATGAAAATATAAACTCAGCTATAAGCTTATGCCATGCTTGACTCTGATATGAGGATATTTTATTACCTGGCAGCAATGTGTCAGATGAACTGGACAAAGGTCATAATGTAAAGCATTATTGTAAATATGCCATAATTCTCATGCAAAATAATCTGTATGTATAAGACAATGATTGTGGAACTCACAGGAGTTTTGTCTCCAGCCACTCTCGCTAGCCAGGATGAACCAAAACTCTTTCATGTCATCAAAAGATCACTGGCCGCACACGCTGTGTATAAAGCACTATAGCAGGGAATACTATAACATGACGTGGCACCATACAATGCGACACAATGTAACAACATAATAAAATATGATATCCCAAAAATAAGGCTCAGTGGCTGCCCTAGATGTGCTGACAGTTGGAAGGAGGGTGGATATGGGAACTGTCACTGGAACTGTCTCCAGAACTTTGCTTATAAAATGCCAGTCTATACGCAAAGTCCCGGAGAGCCCAAAGGTGGAGAAATTAACTTTGCAGGCAGGAGCTCAGAGAGCACTGAAGGAGGGGCAGAGCACAGAAACATTTCCACCTCCTGAAGAGCTCCGACCAGCCATCCCAGAGCCTAAAATATCACCCAGGGAGATTTATTTAATGACCTCAGACTGCAGAATCTTCGCTTCTACTTTACAGAACTGACAACCTCAATTCCACCTCCATAGTTCATGGCTGATAGGTATCCCAAGCCACATTGAAAACATGGATGTAAGATGCCCTGAACAAGCTTCCAAGGAGCACCCTGGAGGATTTGGAGAAAGCTGCAGTCCCCTCTCCAGCAAACGTCAGGGCTCAGGGACTCAATCAGAGAAGCCCCGAGGGCTGCAAAGAACCACATGGCCACCAAATGTGACCTGATGGGAAGAGACTGAACAGAGGGGCAGCCAAGCAGAAGGCAATGTCATTACCTGGGTACCCTTGATGAACCCTGAAGCTGCTGAGTCTTCTATGAATGCATTATCCTTATTATTTAAAAAGATCTGCGTGTTCCAGTTTGGTGCAGTGTATCCTAGTGTATTAATTTGGTATTATTTTATACTGAGATGGTCCAGGCCCTGCCATAGGAACTGTGTGATGCTGCTACAGTCAGCACCAATGCCAGGCCCCAGCAGCAGTGTGGCTGAAATATCTGGGTGGGCAGGTGCACCCTCCACCAATAGGCTCTGACCACAGTAGACTCTCCCAAATCTGATCACCTCTCCCAGGATGTCTGAGCCAAGTGGGGGAAAAAGGGAAGGAGTGTGCCTGTAGGAGAGACAATGAAGTATGCTTTTCTTTTGCTCTTTTGTTGAAAATACTGTGGCTTCTATACTGCAGCAGGACAAACAAACCATGACTTATCTTTCACAATTTATGTACTTGATTTCTTATAATCTAACAGTGTGTTTATATTTCTCCCATGTGCTCTCTTTTCCCTTTTCTTACACATTACCCTTACAGCTAGGTCAATAACAAGTAATCTTGCTAATAATTCTCTCTCCAGGGCCCTGTGCAGAACCTCATGAGACGTGACTTCAGAGGCCTCCTCTCCGACAGGTGAGGGAGAAGTCAGCTGTTCAGAGAGAGAGGCTGCCTTGCCTGGGGACACGCAGCTAGCCAGTGGCTGAAGCAGCAGTGGATGCAGTTGTCCTGATGCATAGTTCAAGAACCTTTGTGTTGCACCAACTCTTTTGTCAATCAAGATTTTGTTTTGGTCTATACACTTATAGGTGGTACAGAGAGTGAAATGAAAAGATGATTTGCACTAGTGACAAAGCGTATCTTTGTGAGTGCCATCCTTTGGTGTAGCTATAAGGGTGGGGGGCTAAGATGTCCCTTTCAGAGGCCTTATACACCAGCATCACTTTTGGTGATAATTTAAGGTTATCCAATGAATCTGCATCTCCCAGAAGAAGGCTTAGATGGCCACTCCCTATCTTCTGGGGCCTTTGGACCCAAGTGATGTTTTAGGATTATAGGGGACATACTGCTAACCAGAAGCAGCCATCTGACTGTACACACTCCTGCCCCTGCTCTCGGTGACAGCTAGAGGATGGGTGGAAAGCCAGCTGACATCTGATTGGTGACAACCAGCTCCCTCAGTGTCAGGGCTCAAACTGGTAATAAGCGCCTGGCTTTATCCAAAGTCTCTGAAAAACCCGCTAGCTGGTGATGTGAAAGCCATGCTAACGGGAAGAGAATTTACTGGAGGCTGACTCAGGGGCAGCAGTCTGGGGAATTAAGCTTGGCTCCTGCAAGGAAATTAGGCAGAATCAATTAAGGATGCGGGCAATTGAGGCAAAGAGACATTAATATTGGATGATAGAAAGTCAGAAGGAAACTGGACCAGCAGTTACAAGCTATAGCACTAACCAAAAAACCCCACATCAGTGACTTGGGAAAGACAGAAGGAAATGAATGAAATTGTGAAAATATCTGAATTTCCCACCAAATTACTTTATTAAATCAGTCTTGAATGAGGCAATTTCAGGGAGGTAGAATGGACTGGCCAAAAGTAATGATGTCCGTGTGGGTACAACTCTTTCTAAGAAGCTACCCTGACAACCAAGCAGGGATAAATCGGCAAGTGTGGATTACATGTCCTCAGTTATTAAGGAATTAGCTAATTAATATACCAAACTTTTGGCAGTTATTTTAAAGGTAAAGAGAGTTAGTAGAGGGAATGCATAGATGGGTTACTGATCTTTAAAGAAAAAGTTAAAGGAATTCAGGGGACTGTGAACTATTGTTAAACATCTCAGGCGATGTGAGGAATTTTGCACATGGTAATCACCACGTTGGAACTAACTTTAAATGATGCAAAATGTTAGCGAGAGTTTCAATGATAAGCTGCAGGCCAGAATAGGGCCATTGTTAAGTATCTGGACCTGGGCAAAAGCTGACAGTTTCACTCAAGGCAAGTGTCAATTTTCTGAATCTATGTAGGCTGGCAGAGCCTGTAGGAAAGTTCCACAGAGCAAAAGAACTCCAATCAATACTCAAGAAAGACAAGATAGGTTAAAAAACACCCACCCCAAAATCGGGTTGGTAAAGCCCAAAACTGCAGTCTGATTGAGTCCTATAGCCCTGCCAGGTATAGATGAGAGCACTGAGGCTGCAAAAGGTTAAGTGCCTTACCAAAAGGAACAAAACGAATAGGTGGTAAATTAAACACTGGGAGCCAGGTCTTTCTGGCTTTAACTTTGGCACTCCTTCTAAAGGATGCTAGGATGCTTATACTGGATCAAGGAGGCGATACCACTCTACGTGGTAGACCCAGGTCTTTCTAGCTTCGAATCTGGCATTCCTTCTACAGTATGCTAGAAAGCTTATACTGGATAAAGGGGGATATATCCTGGAACTTGGAAAAAATCCTAAGCATTTTCAAATTTGGAAAGTCAGATGAAAATAATCATGTTCTGAAAGATGCTAGGCACAAACGGAGCTAAGACTTGTGGCTATTTCATCAGTTAAAAGAGAATAAGCCCCATTCCACGTAAGTCTGCTAGGAATATGCTGTCATTTCCTGTCATTTCTATATGACAGGGAAGGTTGTGGGCTGTCCTGGAGTGGGGCCTGGAAGGAGCACTGGGGAGAGGGAGCAGGTGTGCATGCAGAGGTGGACGGGAAGGTGGTGTCACACAGTACAAGGCTGGAAACTTGGCTGAGGTCAGATTTTGGAGGACTTTGCCAGACAGTGTGATCCTTTAGCGGTGTTAGGAACCCAGGACCAGGGGAGCCTAGGTAGAGAGGCCAGTGAGGATCCAGGTTCCTGGAGAGGCCCATAGGCAGCAGGGGGTATGCTTGGGTCTGGAGTAGGGGGTGGGAAGCAGCCAGGGTGGCATCTTCTGTACCCTGACCCACTGTGGCTGCCTCTGGGGCTGTGGTCTCAGGGAATGGCCTTGAAAGTGAGAAAAGGGAAAAACAGGGAGCAGAGCAGGAGGTCGTTAGAGCAACTCAGCAGCCGGGTGGGTGCCTGTTCTTGGCAGTGGTGATGGGGGGCAGGAGGCAGCACAACAGGGGGTTTGGGCCAGGAATAGGCTGCATGCACCCAGTGCCCAGCAGCTGCTGCCTCTGCACCACTGAGGCCATCACAACTGCCTGCTGTGGACTAAGTGTTACGCTGGTTTTGATGAATTGCCACCTGCAGTTCTGGGGGACTGACATCTGGATGCCTGAGAAGACTCACTCCCAGAAGCCTACAGAGACAGTGGGCAGCCGCTCATCTACCCCCTGGGGAGGGGTTCTTTGATGGCCCCAGGGCTAGCTGACTGTTTTCTGGGGGAACCCAACAGACCTCAGAGAGTAGGCTCAGGAAGCTGTGGAGGTCAGTGGCCATCCCCTCCCCCCACCTCACATCTTAAGCCTGTTTTGAGTCACTGGGAACCGGCAATGGCCCATTCTCCTGCTCAGGCCAGAGCTGTCTCCCACCCCAGCAACCTGGCCATAGGCCCACTCCCAGAGTGCTGAGAATGGAGCCCAGCGACTCCAAGAGAAGCTGCTTCCTAGTGATTCAGCTGTCCAACTGACAAATCTTTTCAGGTGGGAGATCTTTTGTTTCCCTCAAAAGAGGCCCCCTGTGCCAGCCCTGAGGACAGCCTTTCACAGTCCCCTTGGCATCTGCAGCCACTGTCCTCCCGCTCCCAGGCCTGCTATTCTTTTAACCTTCAGCTGCATAGAGATGGGAGAAGGCGGAAAAAAGGCTTTTTATAACCAAATTATCTCTGTGCATTCATCTGCCATTATGTTAATGCATCGCGAAGCCCGGCAGATGGTACAAAGTCAATTACGCTGGTGTTAAAAAGGGAGAAATTGACCTTTTCAGGACTCACTTGGGTTCCAGAGCAGAGTTTGCAAACTCAGGTTTCAGGCCTGGCATGTGGGCAAAGGCACATGGCACTGTGGAAGAGGGAGAGGGATGGATCTGGTGGTCAGCACGGGGACTCCTGTCTCTCGTACCTGCACATTCTCTCAAAGAGGCCAGCATAGCCATCACAGTTGGTCTTCTGGGTCCGCAGGATATCAGTAGGTTTGAAGGCTTGGCGGTCCTTCTCCTGAGCAGCTGCAATGTCGTACTCTACAGGGCGGGTGAGGGGATCATGAGGACCCTGAGCCTGGGAGGCGAGAAGACTCCATCCCCACCCCTAGCTGTGCTCTGGCCATCACCAGCCCCAGGAAACCACAGTGGGCTGAATGGAACTACAGCCCCAGCCCACATGGGATCTGGGAACTGTCACCTCTTTTTGCAAGTGGTGAGAGGAGGAGCAGGCCTTGGCAGAGGGTGCCACCTGGCTCCCCAAACCCCTGAGGAGGGGCTAGGAGGAGAAGGGAGTAGGACAGTGCGGGGGCATGGGGCTCTCTCTGCTAATCCCCACCACACAGCTCTGCACACAGTTCCAGTGAAATCACTGATCCCGTCTTCCTGCAGCCCGGAGGCCTCATGCTGACCCATGGGGCACACAGAGCTCATCCCCAAGTGGAGAAGGCTGCTCTCCCACAGCCTGTCACTTCACTAAGGAGGGGATGAAGACATTGCAAAGAAGCCTGAGGCCTGCGGTGAGGCCCTAAGGCAGAAGTCTCTGTAGCCACTGAGGACCCAAAGGGACTGTGTATGTGTGTATTGGCATGGGGATAGGAGCGGTAACGAAGTCCTATAAATGTCCTGTTTCTGACCTGCCCCTTTAAGGCACAGGCACAGCTGGTGGAGTTGGGATGGGAGCTGGGGGTCTCTCAAATCCTCAGTTTGGACCTCCTGCCTGTGCCTGGCAAACTCATTCTCTAAGCTGCATTCCCAACTGTTGTTCCAGAAGAACAAAAGCAAAGCCCAGTGGCAGCAGGCTGAGAAAGACCCGGCTGGTCTTCATGTCAAAGAACTAGGAGTCCACCTCGCGATCTGGCCCTGTCCACTTTCATTTGTGTTTGCAAGGTGGCAAGGGGCAGCATCCCTTAGCCACCACCTCTGCAGTTCTGCTTGACCTGGGAGCTTCCCGAGGCCATCCTGTGGAGAGCTGTGGGCAGCTGCATAGGCCTAGGTCCCTCAGGTGGCTCCAAGAACCTTGGAGGCTGGGCTGGGACCAGTGGTCAACATTGCTAGTGTAGGAGCAGGAAGTGGAGAACCCACTTTTCCTGGCTCTGGTATTTAGTGAACCCTCTGATATTGCAATCACTTTTCAAACAGCTGCAAGTTCTCCCCACCAATGATCATCCTTCTTTGAGATGACCTGCTGCTCCGGGCTCTCACCTCTGTGGAGATGAGACAGAGGGAAGGCTGGGACAGAGGGAAGGCTGCTGCTGGATGAAGTTTCCAGCTCTGGGCACTGGCTATGGGCAGAAGGCTGCAAGGGATTCTCCTCCAGCTAACTTTCATGGAGACTAATAGCACATGGTAAATTTTATCCTCCTTGGTAACTCTCTGGTTCATCTCTGGTTCATCACCCAGATCCTGGGTCCCTCTCCCCCACCTTTCATGTCACGCTGCACACGTGAATAACCTGATAGGAGCAGAGGCCTGCAGGGAAAGGAAACAAGGGATTCTAGAGCCAGCAGTGTCACAGGTGGGCCTACCTATGTGATGGCAGATCCAGATCCAGATGGCACGGACCCTTTCCAGGTCAGTATGGGCCTCCTGGAGGAGGTCACTCACCAGTTCGTCTAGGCCACTCTTGGCTGTCACCTGGGGAGCAGGAAGGGGATGCTGTATTAGGGCCTCAGGGAGGGGCTGTTGGCGGCCCAGCACCTTGCACCTATAGCCAGTGCTGCTCTTCCCCCAGGCAGAGAAGCTGGAGGAGAGGCCCTGAGGGGCAAAGGCTGGCTGAGGACCAACTGGGAGGAGGTGGGGGATGTTGGACAGGGCAGGTGGTGCTGACCAGCTCAATCACAGGCCCTAGAGCCACCACAGCTTTTCTCTGCAGATCTGGGGGCTAGCCAGGCAGGCATCTGGACAGCTGTAGCAGCCCCTGGTCATGGTCAATACTAAGGATTTAACATAATCCTTATCAAAATTCCAATAGCTTTTGGTGCTGAAATGGAAAAATCAGTTCTCAAATTCCTATACGTTCCAAGGGGCTCCACAAGTAACCAAAACAATTTTGAAAAAAGAACACATTTGAAAGACACAAATTTCCCATTTTCAAAACTTACTGTAGAACTACAGTAATCAAAACAGTTTGATACTGCCATAAAGATTATATAGACAAATGGAATATAACTGAGAGTCCAGAAACGTACCCACATATCTATGGTTAGCGGATCTTTGACAAGGGTGTCAAGTCCATTCAGTGGGGAAAGAAGAGTCTCTTTTACAAATGGTGCTGGGACAATGGGGTTTCCACATGCAAAAGAATAAACTTGGGTCTCTACCTCATGCCATATACAAAAATCAACTCAAAATGGATCAGTGACTCAAATATAAGAGCTTAAACCATAAAACTCTTAGAAGAAAACACTGGGGTTAATCTTCATGACCTTGGATTTGACAATGAATTCTTAGATATGGCACCAAAGGCACAAGCAACAAAGAAAAAAACAGATAAAAGGCCATTCGTGAAAATAAAAAAATTCTGTACATTAAACGATATCATTTAGAAAGCAAAAAGATAACTTACAAAATGAGAGAAAACATTGCAAATCATATATCCAATAAGGGTTAAATATTCAGAATATAAAAAGAACTCCTAGAACTCCACAAAAACAAAACCAACCCAATTCAAAAAAGGGCAAAGGACTTGAACAGATATTTCTCTAAAGAAGATATACAAATGGCCAATAAGCACATAAAAAATTGCTCAACATCCTTAGTCATGAGAGAAATGTAAATCAAAACCACAATGAGATACCACTGCGGACCTAATGAAATGACTATTGAAAAATGAAACCAGAAAATAATGTGTTGGCATGAATATGGAGGAATTGGAACCCTCGTACGATGCTGGTGGGAAGGTAAAATGGTGCAGCTGCTGTGGACAACGTTTTGACAGTTTCTCCGAAAGTTAAATGTAGAATTATCATATGATCTAGCAATTTCAGTCCAAAGTATACACCCCAAAAAAACTGAAGGCAGAGACTCAAACAGACATTGTTTCCCCAGTGTTCATTGCAACCAATCCACAACAGCCAAAAGGTTAAAAAACATCCATCCATGAATGAAAGGACAAATAAAATAAAGTATATACAGTATATATACTATATAATGGGAATTTTATTCAACTATAAAAGGAAGGAATTAAGTTCTATATATGTTACGACATGGATGAACCTTGAAAATGTGATGCTAAGTGACATAAGCCAGACACAAAAGGACAAATATTGTATGATTCCACTCATATGAAGTATCTAGAGTAGGAAAGGTCATAGACAGTAAGTAGAGATTACTGGGGGCTGGGGGAGGAGAAATGGGAATTTCATTGCTTAATGGGTACAGAGCTTCTGTTTTGGGTGATGAGTATACAACATTGTGAATATAATTAATGCTAGTGAATTGTACATTTACAAATTATTAAAATGGCAAATTTTTTGGTATTTTATGATAAAAAAGAACAAATTAGTTTTCTTCCTAGGGGCCCTCAGGGAAACAGGGCTGAGGTTGCTGGAAAGGTGGCCCTGACTTTGTTTAATCTCTATAGAGAAGCTGGGGCAATGGGTCCTGCAATGGTGCCCACATTCCCCGCAGCCCCCACCTTGAGGGTACTCCAGGACCTTGTTTTCAGCTGGAACCATCTCACTGCTCACAAGGGACTCCAGGACCCACCTGCTGACCACTGGCCCAGCACACTGGCACCCTGACTTCTGGAGACCTCTGGGCCCCTGTTCTACTCTCTCAGCTGCTTTCTGTTTGATTTTCTTCTATGTCCAGTTCCAACGCCACAGACTTTGTCCTTGTCCCTGTCCCAGGGCCCCGAATGGTA